GGACACAAACACGATAAAAACTTTCTTCGCAGTCGTTCCGATGATAATTGCGAAGCAGCAGCTGGAGAATTGTCTCATCACGCTTTACGTCTGTGAGCTGAGGAGGAGAAGGGAGGAAGAAGACAAACTGAGTCAAAGGTTGCTCTACCTCAGCCCACTCGTTGGGTCGTCAGAAGGGCAAACCAACGAGCAAGAACAATAAACGTTTACATGATCAAGGAATAAATTAATTCGGCTTTAAAATCGGAATAAACCACCCACTTACTTCGGAATTAAGTTTACCGTATTTTTTGGACTATAAGTCGCTTTGGAGTATAAGTCGCTTTGGAGTATAAGTCGCACCATCCAAAAAATTTGTAATGGAGAAGAAAAAACATATCTAAGTTGCACCAGACTATAAGTTGCACTTTTTGGGGAAATTTATTTTATAAAATCAGAGAGAAGGAACTGACATTTCCAGTTGAAAGTCAAGTTGTAGTAATAAGAATAGAAGAGAACAACAGACTGTTAACGTCACATATGAACAGTTCTTCAGATAAACTATAACATAAACAACAGAACAGAACAAGTTTAACAAACTCTCCATCTCACTCCAAATCACTAAATCCATTCAATTCTTCATCCTCGGTGTCACTTCACTGAACAACTCCTCGACCTCCGGAGGTAAACAGAGCGTCACTTCCTCTTCTGTGTCGCTGTCGTCAGACTCAGCATCAGTTCCAGTTAGAATTATTCTGGTCTTTCTGAATCTCGACAGGATGGTTTCAGTGTCACTGAAGTCCAGACTTTGTCCATCCATCCAGTGACTTCAGGAAAGTTTCATGGTGCATCCTCCCAGTGTCACAAGTTTCTCTCTCACTCCAAACTTTCTTTCTGTTGCTCAATTAGCATTTTCAGCTGCAGATTTCACGACTTGCAGTTTGTAATCTGTAAAATCTGATTTTCTTTTTGGGTTCATTTGTGTTCAGTTTTCTCAGTCGTCTTTATAAGTTTGTTTAAATGTTAAATTGTTCAGTGGTGCAGAAGTAATGGTGCGATCGACTGACATGATACAGACAGAACAGAGGCTCTTTCTGCAGGAGACATGTGCAGTAGAGTGAAGTGACAGTGGTACAGGAGGAACAGGAGCAGCAGATACTCACACACAAGACTAGAACCTCTCACCACTTCACTGTCAACATTTTAATATCTGGGCCCGGTCAAGCAGAAGTAAACAACAAGGCCAAAAATTCAAGTTAATGCATCTGATATAAAAATGTATTGAACAGATACATATGTACTCTAGTTTATGAAACTGTTGACCTTTTTTCTGTACCATTTTTGGTTCTGAAGTTCCATATGTTTTAAACAGACCATGTATGAAACATGGAACAAAAATTATTTCCCAAATCATGTAAATAAATGGATGTATTTCATCATATCTTGTGTTATTCCATCTTGGAACTGTTGATGAAGGTACAGGATTTTTTTTTTTTTTTAAAATGTATTTAAAATGATAAAAATTTGCTTGGAAGGACTGACATATTTTATAGAAATAGTTTCCTTTCATTTTGAAGTAATATTAAAGTATTTGGAAGAAAAAAGCGACAAATGATGTAAAATCCTGCACCTTCTACTTGTTTGTACAATTTTCCCTCCGTTACTTTTCCCTCCGTTACCATGACCTTTCTTAATAAAAAATCTCATGAGTCAAAAAGTAAGAGGTTTTTCAACCTAATCTTGTACCATATGGTAGAAAACTATATGAAGCAAATATTCAAACCAGTTTGTTAAGGATATGGAAGTGAGAACCAAGAGTTATCACTGTTTGGATTTATTGACCAAAAAGTGCTGCATATTTCATTCCCTCTGTTACCGACATGAGTTTTTTAAATTTTTTGTCAACAACTTGAAAGAATATCACAGGTTTAACTTGACCCTGTTGGAGTGTAACTCTTTCCTACATTCTGATTCTTTACTTATTTCAATAGTTCCTCTAGTTTCTGAATAAGAGACATTTGAATGTCAAAAATCTGCCTGTTTCCCTCCGTTACTGCTTGACCGGACCCATGTACAATATATCTGTACTGGGGCAAGACACGTTTGCTCAAATCCATGGAAAAAACTCTGTCATTTTTATCATTTTGAATCAGCGCTGTTCTGAAAGTGCCTCCCAACCCCCCACAGAGTCCCGTGTATCTCCCCTCTCCCTCCTTTTTCCTCTGTGATTCATTCATACTTTTCTTCCCTGCGTCTTTCTTGTGTGCGTCTGAGATGTGACGTGTTTGTTTGTGTGTTGTCGTGGTCTGTCGTGGTCTGACCTCACTGTAAACTCTCTCTGAACCGGGCCTGATCTGCACCGGGCCGCAGGACGAGCCGTGTGTGTGTGCGTGTTCACTTCGCATCTGATCTTCAAGAGACACAACTGTGGCACGTTTGATTTGGTCACAGCGCGCTCCTTTGATTCATCCACGAAAAAAGAATCGACTCGTAGATTGGGATGAGATGTTCTCCCACTCACCAGAAGTTTTATGGTTTCATCCTAACAATAGCAAAGGATACTGCTGTTCTTGCTGAATGGATGAAAGAAAGAGTGTTTACATGGATATTCTGATATGATGTTTACATGCGTTCAGAGAAATAACAGATAACAGATAATCATACCCCTCATCATATTTAGACTGGTAACTATGGCAACAGACATGGCAAGGAGCTAAAAAAAAAGCAACTTTGTTCACTTCAGACCTGACCAAGCCCCGGGGTTTCAAAACGGTGCATGGTTTCAGATCCGCCTTTAGCCCGGCGAGGTTCTTCCGGTGGCTGCGGGCCGACCGAGCATGTGCAGTAGTGTCTTTTCTCCCACGGACACATGCGAATGCACTCGAACGCACACACGGAGCGCGGGCTCGTGTGTCGCGTAGGGTGACCAAACGTCCGTTTTTTCCCCGGACGTGTCTTGTTTTCATGTCAGATTTTTTAGTCCTGGTTTAGTCCTTGTTTAGTCCTGGTATTGTCCTGGTTTAGTCCTGTTTTAGTCCTGGTTTAGTCCTGGTTTAGTCCTTGTTTAGTCCTTGTTTAGTCCTGGTTTAGTCCTTGTTTAGTCCTGGTTTAATCTTGGTTTAGTCCTTGTTTAGTCCTGGTTTCTTCCTGATTTCATCCTGGTTCAGTCCTGTTTTAGTCCTGTTTTAGTCCTGGTTTAGTCCTGGTTTAATCTTGGTTTAGTCCTGGTTTTAGTCCTGTTTTAGTCCTGTTTTAGTCCTGGTTTAGTCCTGGTTTAGTCCTGGTTTAGTCCTGGTTTTAGTCCTGGTTTTAGTCCTGGTTTAGTCCTGGTTTTAGTCCTGTTTTAGTTAGTTTAACATAGGACCTTTAATATGATCAAACATTCCAAACGTGACCAAACGTTCGTTTTTCCCTGGACATATCCATTTTTCGCGTCCTGTCCTGGCCGCCCAGGTTTTTTTTAATAAAGTGATGAAAATGTCCAGGTTTTCATTTCCTTTCATTGGGTCATTCAATTGCGCGTCTCTCGTAGCTCTCTGTAACTCCGAAGGAGCGAGACACAAACAGTCAGTCAGCCTGCAACACGCCAAAGCACAAATGCTCATTTAACGATGACTTGTACAAGAAATTCTGCACTTTCTTTTACAGTCGGGACAAGTGGGAGACCATGTGCACAGTGTACAAAGCAGCACATATGTTTTCGGTGTCCAGTGGGGGTGTCAGGGACCTCAAAGTTCACCAGGACACCAAAAAACATTCAAAAGCTTTGCCAGGTGAGAGTAGTTCAATGCCGATGACGAGGCCCCACCTCTCACCCCCCGTATGGTGTCCTGGTTTTGACAAACACAAATATGGTCACCCTAGTATCACGTGATCGCTTTGACCAATCAGAGCGAGAGGAGCTAGAGCAGAGCAGAGCCAGAGCAAACGATTATAAAGTGTTTGTAAGACAACTGAAGGATTTTGAGCTTAGCAAATGTTTATGATGTAAAAATAGGTAAAAATCGCAACACAAATCCAACATTTTTGAAAGTTGTAGGTCCCTGTCGGCTGAGCATGAGCAGTTTGGGATTACATTGCGCTCTATGAGAAAAATCCTCTCTGAAGTTCCAGTGAGTGACCAATACGCCAACTGGAGGCAGCTACAACCTGAGTAAATGTAAAAGCTGCCCCCCTCTCACGGACAAAAAACACATCCAACTCATAATAACACTGAACTGGTTGCACTGTTGCATTTTTTTGTCATGATTCTCAGGTCTCTGTCTGTGTACGTTACTTGACACGCCCTCATCATGCTGCTATTAGAACCATCTCACACTGGGTCAATGTCTACACTTGGGTTTAAGGGGTATTTATTATTTACGGTTTGCACTTTTTGGGATGCTCCAAACTCAATTTCGTTGTTCTTCTGTGACAATGACTAGAAGCTGAAATAAACAATAAGTTCCTATTGCAAAAACACGGAAGAATCCTTCAGAATCCGACCTTTGTGCAAGCTGTGAATGCCCTGTCAGAACACGAGATCACTAATCGATCTCACATTCTCAGCTTCTGTCAAATTCATCATCAACAGAACAAAATACACAGTGTCATTTTTATCTGAGAGTAACCACACAACTGAAGCTGGTGTTAAACTGTGGCTGGGCTCTACATGATACTGTCCGTTAAACTACTGGTCTGCTCCTACCATATTTTTAGACTTTAGTTCGCACATGCTCAGTACAAAACCATTTTTGAGAAATACTGCGTCTACATACCACAGTATTCTGAATACTATCAGAATAATCCAGTGAGAGTATCCTGGTTTCTCATAACTCAGAGACGGTCTTATCCACTTCACTGAAACCTGTACTGTATCAGAGAGACTGCAGACAGAGACGGTTCAGCTCAAGGGTGGAGAGAAATAGTGAATCTGTTTTGAATGTCCACATGGACGACAAGACTCATGAGTATGACAAAAGTAATAACACAGTAACTGAATATTTGTGGATTCATTTGTCATGTGTCTGTGTGTTTTTCAGGGATCAACAAAATCCTCCAAGTCCATGGAGTCCAGACGCAGAACGTCCAGGTGAGTCACTCCTCAGCTTTGGTTCACATGTTCCACACATGTGCAGAAAGTACAACATACAAAAAGAATAATAGTTACTTTCAAGTATTATTATTAAAGGCTCAGTAAGTAAATTTAGTCCTGGTTCAGTCCAGGTTCTTTAGTCCTGGTTTAGGTTCTGGTTTAGTCCTGTTTAGTTTTAGTTCTGGTTTAGTCCTGGTTTAGTCCTGGTTTAGTTCTGGTTTAGCCCTGGTTTAGTCCTGGTTTAGTCCTGGTTTAGTCCTGGTTTAGTCCTGGTTTAGTTTTATGCCATACTGTTGCCAAATGAACATTTCCATGGAAACCAGCATGGGGAGTCAGGTTTGTGGAGATGCAAGCCCGCTCATCGTAAGGACACATGTTTTTCAGAGCAATAAAAAAACAAACATGTTTTTATTTTTGTCTATTTTTTGCCTAAAAAGTTACACACTGTGACTTTAAGTTGTTAAAAATACAGAATCGTGGAGCACTTGTGGTTGTTTAAGCCTTTTCCTGTTTTGTGAGACACTTGAACCTGGGCCAGGACATTGAAGCATGTTTAAGCATAATTACGATGGATTGCAAAAGTTTGTCCAAAATAGTTTGAACTTTAAATGAAACCTTAGATTTGACCCTCGTCAGCCCCCGTACAGCAGACGTGTTATCTGTCCGAGGGTTACAACGACTCAAGCCCTGCTTCATGTCCAGATCACACATTCACAAGTGTGTGTGTGCGTCTACGTGTGTGTACGTTTGCGTGTGTGTCCGTGTGTGTACGTTTGCGTGTGTGTGTGTGTATGCATCTGTATTTGTGTGTTGGTCTGTGTGTGTGCGTGCATATGCATCTGTGTGTGTGTGCATGTGTGTGTGCGTGCATATGCATCTGTGTGTGTGTGCATGTGTGTGTGCGTATGAGTCTGTGTGCATCTGCGTGTGTTTGTGTGTGCATCTGCGTCCGTGTGTGTCTGTGTGTGTGTCTGCGTGGGTGCATGTGTGTGTTCGTGCATATGCGTCTGCGTGTGTGCGCTTATGTGTCTGTGTGCGTGTGTGTGCATATGTGTCTGTGTGTGCGTGTGAGTATGAGTCTGTGTGTGTGCATCTGCGTGCATATGCATCTGTGTGTGTGTGCGTCTGTGTGTGTCTGTGTGTGTGTCTGTGTGTGCATGTGTGTGTTCGTGCATATGCGTCTGCGTGTGTGCATGCATGTGTCTGTGTGCGTGTGTGTGTATGAGTCTGTGTGCGTTTGTGTGTGTGTCTGTGTGTGTTTGTGTGTGCATTTGCGTGTGTTTGTGTGTGTGTCTGCGTGGGTGCATGTGTGTGTTCGTGCATGTGTCTGTGTCCGCGTGTGTGCGTCTCCATGTGTGTGTGCATCTGCGTGTGTTTGTGTGCATCTGCGTGTGTTTGTGTGTATGTGTGTGCGTCTGTGTGCGTGCGTCTGCGTGTGTGTGCATGCGTGTGTTTGTGCATATATGTCTGTGTGCGTGTGTGTGTGTCTGAGTGCGTATACATCTGTCTGCGTGTGTGTGCGTGTGTGTGTGTGTGTGTGTGTGTGTGTGTGTGTGTGCGTGTGTGTGTGCGTGTGTGTGTGTGTGTGTGTGTGTGTGTTCACTTCAACAGAGTGAAACCCTTACGAGAGGCGACTGGATTTCAAACAGGTTTAATATTCTTACGACCTGAGCCTGCTGATCTGGAGCTGGTCATGAAGTAGAGACGCATCAAGAATGTCAGACTTCTGGTCATTGTGCAGTTCACACTGGGAAGGATTTTCTGAAAAAGTGAGCATCAAACCTCCATGTTTGTTTTCTCAGTGGGATGTGTCTGTTGACAAAGTCGATCTTTTCAAGTCTTTTGAACCATATCACTTTTGTTTCTGGTTCTGATGTTGTCATATTTTACTCATGGGATTCAGACATCGTAATTGTGTGGTTGTTGGATATTTTAACAGCAGAAAACGACTCGAGAAATGTGTTTGCGAACTCCATAAAAACAAAAGTGAATCAGATGTGTGTGACTGTAAACCTCTGTTCAAACTGTTCAAACTGTTTCCCTTCCCAACGGAATTGAAAAATAGTGAAAGACAAAGGCGACGGGCAGGATTGTTACACAGGAATGACAAAAAAGGAAACCTAAATCATCCTGAGTTTGCAGGAAACATTTTGCATGTGGAGCGCCATCAAAGGAGGATCCCGTTTGCCCACTTTTTCAGAAAATCCTTCCCAGTATGCATTGCGCGATGACCGGAAGTCCGAGGTTCTTGATACGTGTATTAATCGTTACCTCATGTTTACTACACGAAGCACGACACACGATTAAGCCAAAACTCTAAACAAAACCAGTCGCACAAGTGAAAAATCATCTCAAAAAGGGCCAGAAATTGCATGATGTATGACCGGCTTAAAACAGAATAAAGAAATAACAAGTTGCTTTCCCATTTTATTGTTTTTCATTCTTAACTGAAATTTAAAAGAAGGAATGGTACATGGACCATCATGGCTATTTCAGTTTGGATATTTTATTCTCTCTGGCTTATTTGCCCTGGAATCAACCCAAAACATGCTCCAGGTCAGAACAGTTGATAGTCAAGGTCAGTTAAATACAATCAATTCAATCATTGTGTCCTTAGGCAAGACACTTCACCCACATTGCCTAGTGTGAAAGTGGTGTGTGTGAGTGATGGTGGTGGTCGGAGGGACTGATGGCACCGAGTGGCATGGCAGCCGTGCTTCTGTCAGTCTGCCCCAGGGCAGCTGTGGCTACAATAGTAGTTTACCATCACCAGGTAAAGAGTGAATGAATAATGCTGAATAATGCTCTGTAAAGCGACTTTGGGGACAAAAAATGTCTGTGAAAAGCACTATATAAATAAAGACTTTTACTTATTTGCCCTGGAAGTTGTGCAGCTTAGAGCGTCGCGTGTGAATTCAGTGTCAAGTGAACAAAGGAGAGTTTAACGCTGCTTCATGGAGTTCAATCAATCAATCAAACTTTATTTATAGAGCACTTTTCATACCAAAAAAAACACAACACAAAGCGCTGTAGCCCAGACAACATAAGATGATTAAGTGCATTTTTCTTTATTTCTAAACTGTACTGTGGCTGCTCTTTTTCTGTTGTTGTTTATTCGATCAGCTGATCACTCCGTCAGTATATTCAGGTTCATAAAGATTGGCTTTGTGGTAAAGGTAAAGTCTTTATTGTCGGTGTCGTAATCAGACATGTTGTCGCTAACATTCCGAGCAGTAAACAAAGTGAACCAGGAGCGGCTGTCACCTGGCGGCCGCGCAGCAGTGATACGAACGGAAAGAAAATAGTGCTAAGTGATTATGAGGTCTGACTTTTTAGGTGATGATGGTTTTGTGATGCAAATGTCTCACTCTTTTGAACACATTGTTTTGAGAAGAAAAACACTTTATTATACAGTCCCCAGTCAACTTGCCGGACTACTTTCGTCAGCACCGAAAACGGTCAGTATCTCGGTTCACCGGACGCTGTCGGGGGTAAGTCAGTGTTGATGCACGACACTGCTCACGGGGATGACATACAGATTTATGTCAAACATCCCGAACTATCCCTTTAATAAACATAATTAGTCTTCACTTTAGAAAAGCTCTCAAAAAGACTTAACTAACAGATAACAGCTGCCTGAATGATCATTGCATTGCATTACTTGTAAATCATTCTCTCATAACTTACTATTCATTAATAAATGCTCAAACGTGAACTTAAATATGCATTTGTAAACATGCAGATGGTTAGTTGATGAGTAATTAAGTAAGAAATACTTATGAGTAACTATTTACAGCACAGGTGAATTAAGTACAAGTTAAGTGCTATTTCAGGTAGTAATTAAGTTGTTACTAAGTGTGAATCATTATTAATTAAGTCTTTGTTCATGCTTTATTAAGGCTAAATTAGGTGTAGTTATTATAAAGTGTTACCAACTTGAAATTAAATATTGGAATTAGAGGTCGAAATCTGTTTTTTTGATTGACACTAAAACAGAAAAATGGAATGACAAACTGTTTTCCCATTTGATTGTTTTTCGTTCGAAGTTTGGGTTGAAGCCTCTTTCTTACTGTGAGTTTATGAGTGTGTGAGCTTTTGCTGGTGTCGGGGCAGCGTTTTTTCCTCACATGGGTCACCTGAGTATCTCCAGAGGAAGTGTCTCATCCGTCTGACTCTGCTCCGAACATCTGGAGTCACTTGAAAACAGCTGGGGCCGGTCTGCGGGAGGTGGCCATCTTGAGCCCATATTGGAGCGCGAATGTAGTTTCACAGTCTGTCTTGTCTGCGGCGCGGGGATCTACGGATATGTCGTTGAATTATTGTTGTCGAAAGTCTCCAAACTCAGATACTAGTTGATAATAAGTCAAGCGAGTCACGTTCAGCGACTCCAATTCATTTTGTATTAAGAAACGTCGCCCTTCTCTCTGTAATTTCTGTTGTGAGCCTTGTCAGTTTGGTCTAAAAATATTCATATTAACCCACTCTACATCTTATTTCACTGTTTTGTCCATAAATTAAGATATGAACAAGAACAATTAGATGCCCTCTTTCCTAATTTTTTTCACACAAAAAATCCAAATTGAGTTTTAAGCCCTGCCGTCTGAACGTAGCCTTAAATTCATGCAATTACAGCTGGTTTTATTACTCAAAAATACTTAGAAAAACAGGTATTCTGACTGTACGCTGCGTCGCCTCTCCACAGATCTGACCTCTAACTTTGTCTTTGGTCTCCATGAAGATAGCGAGCCGCACTGCGAAAAATTCTAGACAAAACAATAACATCTCCACGAAGAAAAAAAAAAAAAGGATTTGACGGATGCTCCACCAGAAAAGTTACACAATGGTTTAGTCCTGGTCTAAACCTGGTCTAGTCCTGGTTTAGTCCTGATTTTGTCCTGGTTTAGGTCTAGTCTTGTCCTGGTTCAACCCTAATTTAGTCCTGGTTCAGTCCTGGATTAGTCCTGGTTCACTCTGATTCGGTCCTCATTCAATCCTGGTTAAGGTTTAGTCCTGGTTCAGTTTGGTTCAATCCTGGTTTAGCCCTGGTTCAAGCCTTATTCAGTCCTGGTTAAGGTTTAATCCCAGTTAAATCCTGGTTCAGTTTGGTACAGGCCTGGTTTAGTCCTGGGCTAAGCCTGGTTTTGTCCTGATTTTGTCCTGGTTTAGTTCTAGTGTAGTCCTGGTTTAGTCCTGGTCCAACTGTGGTTTAGTCCTGTTCTAAGCCTGGTCTAGTCCTGGTTTAGCTGTGGTTCAAGCCTGGTTTAGGTCTGTTTTAATCCTGGTCTCACCCGGGTTTATCCCTGGTTTAGTCCTGTTCTAAGCCTGGTCTAGTCCTAGTTTAGCTGCGGTTCAAACCTGGTTTAGGGCTGTTTTAATCCTGGTTTAGTCCTGGTTTAGTACTGATTCAGTCCTGGTTAAAGTTTAATTTTGGTTTAGTCCTGGTTCAGTTTAGTACAGGCCTGGTTTAGTCCTCAATCAGTCCTGGTTAATGTTTAGTCCTGGTTTATCCCTGGTTTAGTCCTGATCTAATCCTGGATTAGTCCTGATTTAGTCCTGGTTTAGTTCTAGTGTCGTCCTGGTTTAGTGTTGGTTCAACCCTGGTTTAGTCCTGGTTTTGTTCTGGTTTAGTCCTGGTTTAGTTCTCATTTAGTCCTGGTTAAGGTTTAGTCCTGGTTTAGTCCTGGTTCCATTTGGTTCAATCCTGGTCTAGTCCTGATTTAGCCCCAATTTTTGTCCTGGTTTAGTCCTCATTCAGTCCTGGTTAAGGTTTAGTCCTGGTTCAGTTTGGTTCTGTCCAGGTTTAGCCCTGGTTTAGTCCTGCTCCAGCCGTGGTTTAGTACTGGTCTAAACCTGGCCGCGGTTCAAGCCTGATTTAGTGCTGGTTTAATCCTGGTCTAGCCCTGGTTCAGTCCTGGTTTAGGGTTGTTTTAATCCTGGTCTAGCCCTGGTTTAGTCCTTGTTTAGTCCTGATTCAGTCTTCAGTCCTGTTAAAAAGCATTTGACTGCATTTATCCACCAAAAAACTCACACAATCTGCCTTTTAAAAACAACACGCATCTCATTAAACCGACTGGAAACCCACGGAGCCAAACCCTGAGATGTTTTGGTGCGCTCCATGTGACTCCCGTTTCCTTATAAGCCTCTGATTTCACGCTGGGAATGAGAAGTATGTGTTTACGGCCAACACAAACTCCGGCGTGCTCTCGCTGCTCTAATCGAGCGTCCGGGGTTTACATAACTCTGGATACAAGCAGGACTCAGGCTTGTCTTATCCTAATATGGACTGGGCCTCACGCTGGGGTAAACACGCTCCGGGCTCCGCGGAGGTCTGACGAGCAGGTGGCTACGCGTGGGACGGGATAAGGACGGGGTTTCTTTTTTTTTTTTTTTTAATTGGGTGCCATTTTGAGGACTTTGCCGTTGATGTTGTTGGATTATAATGTCGCTATGATAACGGTGGTGGGTTTGAGTCACTTTGAAACGCATGAAAAGTGGAAAAGGAATGGATGGGTTAGTCCTGGTTTAGTCCTGGTTTGGTCCTGGGCCAACCCTGGTCTAGCCCGGGTTTAGTCCTGATTTTGTCTTGTTTTTGTCCTTGTTTAGCTCTGGTCTGATCTTGGTTTAGTCCTGGTTTAGTCCTGGTTTAATCCTGGTTCAGTTCTGTTCAGTTCAGTCCAGGTTTAGCCCCAGTTTAGTCCTAGTCTAAACAAGGTCTGGCCCTGCTTTACTACTGATTTTGTCCTGGTTTAGTTCTAATCTAGTCCTGGTTCAGTTTGGTTCAGTCTAGGCCCTGGTTTAGTCCTGGTATAACGTTGGTCTTGCTCTGGTTTAGTCCTAATTTAGTCCTGATTTTGTCTCGATTTTGTCCTGGTTTAGCCCTGGTCTAGTCTTGGTTTAGTCCTGGTTTAGTCCTGGTCTAACTGTGGTTTAGTCCTGGTCTAAACCTGGTTTAGTCCTGGTTTAGCCCTGGTCTAAGTCTTGGTTTAGTCCTGGTCTAACTGTGGTTTAGTCCTGGTTTAGTCCTGGTCTGACTACGGTTTAGCCCTGGTCTAGTCTTGGTTTAGTCCTGGGTTGGTCCTGGTCTAACTGTTGTTTAGCCCAGATTTAGTCCTGATTTTGTCCTGGTCTAGTCTGGGTTTAGTCCTGGTTTAGCCCTAGTCTAACTGTGGTTTAGTCCTGATTTTGTTCTGGTTTCGTTTGGGTTTAGCCCTGGTCTGGTCCTAGTTTAGTCCTGGTTTGGTCCTGGTCTAAACTGGTCTAGTCCTGGTTTAGTCCTGAGTTTGTCTTAGTTTGGTCCTAGTTTAGTCCTGGATTAGTCCTGGTTCAGTCTGTTTCAGTCCTCATTCAGTCCTCATTTAGTCCTGGTTTAGTCCTAGGTTAGTCCTGGTCTACCCCTGGTTCAGTCCTGGTTTAGTCCTGGATTAGTCCTGGGTTAGTCCTGGGTTAGTCCTGGTTGAGTCTGGGTCAGTCCTCATTTAGTCCTGGTTCAGCCTTGTTCAGTTCTGGTTTCATCCTGGATTAGTCTTGGTCTAGTCCTGGTTTAGTCCTGGTCTAACTCTGGTCTAGTCCTGGTTTAGTCCTGCTTTAGTCCTGGTCTAACTCTGGTCTAGTCCTGGTTTAGTCCTGGTTTAGTCCTGCTTTAGTCCTGCTTTAGTCCTGCTTTAGTCCTGGTCTAACTCTGGTCTAGTCCTGGTTTAGTCCTGCTTTAGTCCTGGTCTAACTCTGGTCTAGTCCTGGTTTAGTCCCGCTTTAGTCCTGGTCTAACTCTGGTCTAGTCCTGGTTTAGTCCCGCTTTAGTCCTGGTCTAACTCTGGTCTAGTCCTGGTTTAGTCCTGCTTTAGTCCTGGTCTAACTCTGGTCTAGTCCTGGTTTAGTCCCGCTTTAGTCCTGGTCTAACTCTGGTCTAGTCCTGGTTTAGTCCTGCTTTAGTCCTGCTTTAGTCCTGGTCTAACTCTGGTCCAGTCCTGGTTTAGTCCTGCTTTAGTCCTGCTTTAGTCCTGGTCTAACTCTGGTCTAGTCCTGGTTTAGTCCTGCTTTAGTCCTGGTCTAACTCTGGTCTAGTCCTGGTTTAGTCCTGCTTTAGTCCTGGTCTAACTCTGGTCTAGTCCTGGTTTAGTCCTGGTTTAGTCTTGGTCTACCTCTGGTCTAGTCCTGGTTTAGTCCTGTTTTAGTCCTGGTTCAGTCCTGGTTTAGTCCTGTTTTAGTCCTGGTTCAGTCCTGGATTAGTCCTGCTTTAGTCCTGGTCTAACTCTGGTCTAGTCCTGGTTTAGTCCTGCTTTAGTCTTGGTCTACCTCTGGTTTAGTCCTGTTTTAGTCCTGGTTTAGTCCTGCTTTAGTCGTGCTTTAGTCCTGGTTCAGTCCTGGTTTAGTCCTGTTTTAGTCCTGGTTTAGTCCTGCTTTAGTCCTGGTTTAGTCCTGGGTCCTGTTTTTAGTCCTGTTTAGTCCTGCTTTAGTCCTGGTTTAGTCCTGGTTTAGTCCTAGTCCGCTTTTAGTCCTGGTCTAACTCTGGTCTAGTCCTGGTTTAGTCCTGCTTTAGTCCTGGTCTAACTCTGGTCTAGTCCTGGTTTAGTCCTGCTTTAGTCCTGGTCTAACTCTGGTCTAGTCCTGGATTAGTCCTGCTTTAGTCCTGGTCTAACTCTGGTCTCTGGTCTGGTCTCTTCAGGACGGGCAGTCTTCTTCAGGCTCTGGAGGAGACGGTGGAGCTGGATCTTCTGTACATCACAGAGAGGATCATCTCCGTGTCCTTCTCCAGCTCCGTGGAGGAGCCCAGCTACGCCGCACACCTCCGAGAAGTGGCCTCCATGCTGCGCTCCAAACACGGACACAACTACCTGGTACGTGCACTCATCCCTCCATCTCTCCCTCTCTCCATCCCTCTATCCCTCTGTGCCACCATCCCTCCATCTGTCCATCAAATACTCCACACACGGACACAACAACCTGGTTCCTACACTCATCTGTCCATCTTTCCTTCATAACGCTCCAAAAACGGACACAACTACCTGGTACTCCTCTTCCATCTCTCCATTTCTCCACCTTTCTATCCTTCCGTTTCACCGTTCCTCCATCTGTCCATCAAATACTCCAAATATGGACACAACAACCTGGTACATACACTCATCTGTCCATCTTTCCTTCATAATGCTCCAAAAACGGACACAACTACCTGGTACTCCTCTTCCATCTCTCCATTTCTCCATCTCTTCATCTCTCTATCCTTCTGTTCCACCATTCCTCCATCTGTCCATCAAATGCTTCAAACATGGACACAACAACCTGATACCAACACTCATCCCTCCATCTGTCTTTCATAAAACTCTAAACACAGACACAACAACCTGGTTTGCCCTCTCTTCATCTGTCTCTCTTTCACATCATCCCTCTATCATACTCCTCCTGTCTCTCCATCCCTCTATACCTCTCTTCATTTCTCTATCTCTTCTTCATAATACTCCAAACACGGACACAATAACCCGGTATGTCCTCTCTTCATCTGTCTCTCTTTCCCTTCATCCTTCCATTTATTCTTTGTAATACTCCGTTCTCTCCATCCCTCTATACCTCTCTTCATCCCTCCATCTGTCCGTCATACATTCCAAACACAGACAGAACTTCCCGGTATGTTCCCTCCTGCAAAGCCGTAGCTGTGTTAAACTCACCGCAGACGTGAATACAAAAGAGGTGAAGTCATGCACACCTCCCTCATCCTCATCATGACGTACCTGCCGTGTCCCTTTAAGGAACTGTACGAAGAATTCACTCGCGCAGGTTTTTTTTTAAGGTTCTACAATCACACGTGAACACACCCAAAATCCAGATGTTCTAGGTTTCACTAAAAATGGTAATTTATTAATTAATGGAATAAGAAAGAAAAAAGAAAAGAGGTGGTGAAAAGAAAATACCAGATAAAGTTAAGGGCTTAAATCAAAACAAATTAACAACAAATGAGCCCAAAAGTAAAACAAAAGATAACCTGAACTAAAGTTGAACACATAACGAACAACAAAGGCTACGTTCAGACTGCAGCCTGAAGTGACCCAAATCTGATTTTTGACCTGTATCTGATCTTTTAATGACAGTCTGAATGACACAGATCCGATTTTTTCAAATGCGACCCAGGCCACTTGGATATGTGCTCCTAAAACTGATACATATCTGATCTTTTGACATGTGACTTCAGTCTGAACGGTCAAAGTGCATTCATCCACCTACACGTTATCAACAAGCCACAAACGTCACTGAAGTAGGTGAAAATTGTTAATGAACTCCGTGTCACTGAAGTGAAGCACATCACCACTCACCACTCTTGGCTACATCTCCACATCCACACGTTCCTTTCTACGGACGTCGCTGCCGCTGTCCCACAAAACACCACGACCAAAAACCTCGTCCTTCTCCTTCTCAATCTCCTCCTTAAAACAAGTAAGTTGTTCATGTTCTGGCTCCGGTACGAGAGGAACTTTAAAATCTCCAGGTGCTCAATGCTGCGTCCATGTTTGGACAACTTCTGTAAACACAGAGACGCTCGCTGCGGTTGACGTCGTCGTGTCTCCAGTGTCACATGTGGGACACTTTTGGGGCGTTTAAAGTTCACACTGGAGTCACATACAAGTCACATTTAATTGGAAATGTGAACGACCTCACAAAAACATCGGATTTCACACACAAAAAATCTGAATTGAGCGTTAAGCCCTGCAGTCTGAACGTAGCCAAAGTGTCTCCTTCCAAGGTGTTTGGTCTCTCACATTCAGCTCGGGTCGTCTACCAGAGGCCTGGGAGCTTGACAGTTCTGTGCAGTATCTTTGCTGTTCCCAGTACTGCACTGTTCTGGACTCAGATGTCCGTTGTTTTTCCCGGTATCTGTTTGTAGCCTCTTCCAGTTTGGCGGTTACAGTCCCGAGTGTCCGATCACCACAGGCACCACTGATACCTTCACTTTCCAGGCTGTCTCCAGCTCTTCCTTGAGCCCCTGGTATTTTTCTACTTTCTCATGTTCCTTTTTCCTGGTATTACCATCTCTTGGTATTGAGACGTCCACCACCACGGCTCTGCTCTGTTTCTTATCCACCACCACTATGTTTTATCACGCAGGTAACTTGGACTCAAATGCAACACATGTACACCTGGCACGCAAAGTCTTATTTAAATAACTGAAAGTGTCCTATAACAGGAAATGTTTATAATGGCAACACAGACTGGAAATACAACAGAGGAATATATGATATTAAGTGTGAACGAAAAGTATCTTCCAAGACTGCAAAAAAACTCAAGAACAGGGACAACAAACCGGGAAACTCAGAATTTCAGAAGAAGCAAACAGATCAGATTCAAGGGTTATGATTCAGGGTTTTCAGGAGCTTGAGTGTCTGTTTTAACAGGTTGACAATCTGGCAAAGACTGAGGGAGCAGAGGGAGTATGTATACACTGGTCTGGGCTGATTACGGCATGAGGGGCAGCTGCAGGTAAAGGAGGGAGGTAGCAAAAGGAGGACCGGAACAGACTGAGAAATGGAACTGGACTGGGGAAAACATGTAAACAAAAAGGCAGAACTGTGACATGTCTGGTTGGTCCATCATCACCATCCGTCTGTATCTGAAGTCCCACAGGATCTTAGCTCGGTCATTCTCCACAACCTTTGGAGGTGTTTCCCACCTTGATCCTGGGGTCTCCAGCCAGATGTTTCTGTACACTCTGCCCGCCACTTGGTTCTGTCGCTCCATGTTTGTTTCCCTGCAGCATCTTGCACCTGCAGTTCTGTGCTGGACTGTCTCAGGAGGCTGCAGTAGCACTGACACAGGAGCTGAGGTTTAAGACGAGACCGTTCAGATCAGAGAGAGACATGTTAGCTTTAAACCAAACGGATTTCAGCATTGAACCAGCAACCCAAATGAGAGAGTCATGTGAGGCTCATTCTGCTTTCTGATTGGAGAATTGTCTTGAACCAAAACACCAAATTATAAAAATAAATGAGCCATCATGTCCAATGTTTTTGTCATTTAGAATAAATCAGTGTCCTAATGTTACCAGTAAAAGTTGATTTGTTTACACAGATAAGTCAAGTTTATGAAGTTTTAAAAGCACATTGTGTAACTTTTCGGAATATTTCACAGTATGGCATTAAACTTTTCTAACTTCATGGAAAGGAGCAGGGTTTATAAGATTTATTTTCTTCTTGTTTCTTTTTTTCATGCACCAAAGACGAGGCAAATAATGACTGGGACATGCATTTATATTAATTGTCAGATTGTGTTGCTGTTGTTGTTGTTGTTCTTTAAATTGATACCAACAAAATAACAGTATGAGCAATAAATAGGTTAATTAATTAATAACCAAGCCAAGTTACAGGCCAGGTCTATGGAGAGGCAACCCACACACAGTCACAGTCAGAATGTTTGTTTTTGTAGGTATTTTTTTGAGTTATAAATCCACTTGCAGTTGAATAAATGTAAAGTAGATGGTGGAACATTTGAAGCAGAGTCCGTATCAGACTCTTACGTCCAGCCCCTTGAGCAGCACAATGTGAGTGTGATGTTCCGTCCTGGTGCAGATGGAGCGGATCAGGAGACAGTCAGCTGAGTTCTCTGTTCTCACGTCTCATATGGAACAGAACAGGGCTGTTTGTTGTCGGTGGGTGCGCCTCAGACTGCGGCGGTACATCTGCGCACTATCTGAAAATCAAATATCAATCAGGATTTGTGCAGCTTTTGGAGAATTAACTCAAAATCTTAATCAGATGTTACGTCCAAACATTATCAAGTTGTGTATGTGGACCTCTGGAAGAATTGTACAGAAGATCTCAAGTTGTGCACCACTTTTTTTCCATTTTACAAAGAAGTTTAAATGTGTAACTTTGGGCAGAAACATGAATTATGAGACTTAGTTTGTGCTGGAGTACGTTGCTGTACAGTTACTGATTTGTTTGTTTCCTTTTGTTGTATTTATGAAGATGAACTGGTGTCAAGATGATAAGATAAGCTCAAACTTCAACCGACACCTTTTCAGTCAATATATGCAAATATGTCTGCGAAATAATGTCAGAATAGACATGTGACCGAAATAAATCAATCAAACAATCACTCAGTCAATCTAAAGAGGGATCAATTGTTTTATTTTTACCAATCTCTTTCTGTGCTTCTACTCAAGTAATTTCTGTTTTTTTAATGTCTTAGATTATATAAAATTGACCCTTGAGAGTTTAAACCATGTTATCATGTTGTTTCCTCATCAAAAACAGACCTGGACCTTGTGTTTTGTTTCATTCACAAATGTAATCCTCTAACCCTATAATGCCATTTGTATCATATTTGTTACACAACATTCTCAGACCTCTGCCCACACACATAATCAATACTTTTCCTGAAAAACCTGTTGTATACAATTAAATACTTGTCAGCTGCCCCCTAGTGGGCTTTCCATGGTTTTCAGTAAACAACTTTGCAAATTTTGAAAAGGTTAGTGTAAGAATTGCCTAAATATTGTTAGTGATCCTCCAATATGAACATTTACTTTCTTAGATTAATCTATGAAATCTTCATATTTTTATTTTCATTTTGTAGAAAAATCATGTTAAAATTTTATGTATCAAATTTGATACAGCAGGTCTTTTTGATTATGTTCCTCATCATCACTATAATGTATTTTATGATGCAATCTGCATAATTCATGCAATTCCATGCAAATTTAACACACAATTTTTAGTATTTCATAACTAAGATGTCACCTTAAAAATATTTATTTTCAATCGTTATTATTATTATTATTATTATTATTATTATTATTATTATTGCATAATGGTAGAATTTTGATCTTTACATGACTTGTATATAAATGAAAGGTGTAATGTTTGGAGTAACTGTCCTGTCTGATATAGAGGATTCACTCATTTATTTTTTACATATATTTTTAATAATCATTATTTAATGCTTCTTGTATATATTTTGTTCAAAGTTCCAATAATGAGTTAAATATTTAAAAAAAAGAATTTTCTGTCAATTATTTCATGTGTCAGGCTTTATAGGGTTAATATGAGTCTGTTTACATCCCAGAGCTCAAAATGCTCTGTTACACCTTGTGACGTCATGAAGTGGCAGTTTTCGTGTTAACAGCTGTTTACTTTTGTTGAGAAGAGACTGGAAATTAAAAAAAAAAAAAAAAAAGAGAAGAGAAGAAGAGCCTAAATGTGCAGGGTTTGTGTGTTAAACGTGTGAATGAAACAAAACACAAGTCCAGGTCTGTTTGTGATGAAGAAACAACACTAGAACACAGATCACATATAGTTAATTTAAGGCTCTTTAAAGTCACATATTCTTGTCTTTTTCTTGTCTCCTCTTAAAATAATATCTTCATCTGGAAAACACTTTATAAACCAGATCCTAATGAGGTATTCAGGCGGTGGAGCTCCCTCTGCTGTCAGCAACGAGAATGAACAGTCAGAAAATAAACAAATGCACTCCTTATCTGTGTGGAGCCATGTGTTTGTTGTGAACACAGTCTGACAGAAGAACGACTCTGCTCAGGGTTTATTGATTTAAAAACAGAGCAGGAGAAGATGAGTTTAGTCCTGGTTCAGTCCTGTTTAGTCCTGGTTTAGTCCTGGTTTAGTCCTGGTTTAGTCCTGTTTAGTCCTGGTTTAGTCCTGGTTCAGTCCTGGTTTAGTCCTGGTTCAGTCCTGGTTTAGTCCTGGTTTAGTCCTGGTTTAGTCCTGGTTTAGTCCTGGTTTAGGCCCAGTACAGTCCTAGTCAGACCATGGTTTAATCCCGATTTAACCCTAGTCTGACCCTGGTTTAGTCCTGGTATAGTTCTGGTTTAGTCTGGTATAGTCCTGGTTTAGTCCTACTCTGACCCAGATTTAGTCCTGCTCTGACCCTGGTTTAGTCCTGGTTTGACCCTGGTTTAGTCCTGGTTTAATCCTGGTTTAGTCCTGGTTTAGTCCTGGTTTAGTCCTGGTATAGTCCTGGTTTATTTCTACTTTGACCCTGGTTTAGTCCTGGTATAGTCCTAGTTTAGTCCTGGTTTAGTCCTGGTATAGTCCTGGTTTAGTTCTGGTTTAGTCCTGATCTAATCTTGGTTTAGTCTTGTTTTGGTCCATATTGTCCTGGTTTAGTCCTAGTATAGTCCTTATATAGTCCTACTGTGACCCTCGGTTAGTCCAGCTTTAGTCATCCCTTAGTCCTACTTCAAGTCTTGCTTAGTCCTGATTTTGTTCTGGTTTAGTCCTAGTCTGAACCTGGTTTAGTCCTGGTTTAGTCCTACTTCAGTCTTGCTTCAGTCCTGGTTTAGTCCTGGTTTAGTCCTGCTTTAGTCCTACTTCAGTCTTGCTTCAGTCCTGGTTTAGTCCTGGTTTAGTCCTACTTCAGTCTTGCTTCAGTCCTGGTCTAGTCCTGGTTTAGTCTTGATTTAGTCAAGCCCAATCCTGACCATAGAATTCTGAATAGAAGTTTGCTGATGGTTTATGGTCTTAAAAACAAGTCTGGACTTTTACCTGTGACGCAACTAAACTGACAATATTCAAACTGAGTATTTCTGAGGCTCTGAAAGGACCGTTTTGGATTCATGGCTCAATGAAACAAGCGTAAATGAAGCAAAAATACAACTCTATAAAAACACTGTAAAATGGTTGAAAGCTCAAAAAGTCAACACTGAAAAAAAAGGATCAGCCAACTCCACCTTGTTTACAAAGTTGCCTTCTCGTTTTCCAGGTAGTTAGGTGCAGTTTTTTGTGTTTTCCAAGTGTCGACCTGTAGATGAGATAATGAATAATGTCATGTAATTATGTTGTAATGAAGTTTTTTTTCTTTTTTTCTTCAGCTCTTCAATCTGAGTGAAAAACGGTTTGACATCGGCCAACTCCACCCAAAGGTAAAACTACTGTGTGTACTGTTATACTCACAAACTGGCCTAACCCTGGTTTCGTCCAAGTTTAATCCTTGGTCTGACCCTGGTTCAGTCTTAGTTTAGTTCTGGTTTAGCCCAGGTTGAGTCCTGGTTTAGTCCTGCTTTAGTTCTGGTTTAGTCCTGGTTTAATTCTGGTTTAGCTCTGGTTTAGTCCTGGTTTAATTCTGGTTAAGTCCTGGTTTAGCCCTGGTTTAGTCCAAGTCTGATTTTGGTCCTATTCCGTCCTAATCCTGGTCTTGTCTTGTTTAATCTGTGATCTAATATTGTCGTGAACCTGGTCTAAACCTGGTCTAACTCTGGACAAGTCCTGGTTTAGTTCTAGTTTACTCTGGGCTAGTCTTGGTCTAACCCTGGTCTAACTCGTGTGTAGTCTTGGTTTAGTCCTGGTCTAAACTCTGGTCTAGTCCTGGTTTAGTTTTGGATTAGTCCTAGTCTAAACCCTGGTCTAACCCTGGTCTGTGTGTGGTCCAGGTCTTGGACTTCGGCTGGCCAGACCATCACGCTCCGGCTCTGGATAAAATCTGCAGCATCTGTAAAGCCATGGACACATGGCTGAGTGCAGACAGCCAGCACGTGGTGGTACTGCACAACAAGGTACACACTCACACAGTACGAGCAGGAGCACAAGTACTAACAGTAGTAGTAGTGTAGTAGTAGTAGTAGTAGTAGTAGTAGTAATTTCTGTTATTAATTCAATTTTTTCACTAGAAGTAGTAGTAGTAGTAGTAGTAGTTGCAATTTCTGTTATTTCTGTTTGTTTTTTTCACTAGTAGTAGTAGTAGTAATAGTAGAAGTAGAAGTTTCTGTTATCTCTGTTTTTTTTTTTTTGTTTTTTTTTCACTAGTAGTAGTAGTAGTAGTAGTAGTAGTAGTAGTAGTGGTAGTAGTAAAAGTAGAAGTTGTGGTTGTTGTAGTAGTAGAAGTTTCTGTTATTTCAGTTTGGGTTTTTTTTCACTGGTAGTACCAGTAGTAGTAGTAGTAGTAGTAGTAGTAGTAGTAGTAGTAATAGTAGTAGTAGTTTCTTTTCCTTCTGTTTTTTTTTTTTCACGAGTAGTAGTAGTAGTAGTAGTAGTAGTAGTAGTAATAGTAGTAGTAGTAGTTTCTCTTCCTTCTGTTTTTTTTTTTTCACGAGTAGTAGTAGTAGTAGTAGTAGTAGTAGTTTCTGTCACTTCTGTTTTTTTCACTAGTAGTAGTAGTAGTAGTAGTAGTAGTAGTAGTAGTAGTAGTAGTTTCTGTCAATAAATTACAACTACTTGACACATAATACATTATTTCTGTTTTTATTAGTTAGTTTAGTATTAGTATTAGTTGAAGTATTTCTACTTCATGTTTTTACTTGAAGCTTCTAATATTTGCAACTTCGAATAATAATACTCAAAAATACTACAAATACTACAGCCTCAGTAAATGTGTTGTGTGTGTGTTTCTCCAGGGGAATCGTGGGAGGACTGGAGTGGTGGTGGCTGCATATATGCACTACAGCAATATATCTGCAAGGTGAGTAGGAGTAGTAGTACTAGTACTAGTAGTAGTAGTAGTAGTAGCTGTAGTGGTGGTAGCAGTTGTAGTCATAGTATATGCAGAAGTATTATTAGTAGCTGATAATAGCAGTAGTAGTAGTAATAGCAGTAGTAATAGCAGTAGCAGTAATAGCAGTAGTAGTAGTAATAGTAGTGGTAGTAGTAGTAGTAGTAGTAGTAGCAGTAGCAATAGTAGTAGTAGTAGTAGTAGTAGTAGCAGTAGTAGTAGTAGTAGTAGCAGCAGTGGTAGTACTAGTAATAGTAGTAGTAGCAGTAGCAGCAGCAGTAGTAGTAGTAGTAGTAGTAGTAGTATTAGTGGTGGTAGTAGTAGTAGCAGTAGCAATAGTAGTAGGAGTAGAAGTAGGAGTAGTAGCACTGGTGCTTGAAGTAGTAGTGGTAGTAGTAGTAGTAGAAGCAGCAGTGGTGGTTGAAGTAGCAGTGGTAGTAGTAGCAGTAGCAATAGTAGTAGTAGTAGTAGTAGTAGCAGTGGTGGTTGAAGTAGTAGCAGTAGCAGCAGCAGTAGTAGTAGTAGCAGAAGCAATAGTAGTAGTAGTAGTAGTAGTAGTAGTAGCAGTAGTAGCAGCAGTAGTAGTAGTAGTAGTAGTAGTAGCAATAGTAGTAGTAGCAGTTGTATTCATTGTAGTGATTGTAGTAGTCATGGTAGTTGTAGTAGTAGTAGCAGCGGTGGTGGTTGTAGTAGTAGTACTCGTATCAGTAGTAGTAGTAGTAGTTGTAGTATTAGTAGTACACTTCAGAAAAGGTGAGATAATAGGAGCTGGACTCAGACATCACGAGACAAACTGACATTTGTTTATTTGAACAAATTCCAGGAAACATTACCAGATAATTTTGCACAGAATTTCTACAATAACATCATGAGATTAGAGTTTTTACATTTGAATTTGAATTTGTTTGTGGAGGTTGAATTCTTTTGTAAACAAAGACAAACGTGTGTGACCTTAAACAGTGTCAGGGCTCAGATGAGTCACTGTCCGTCTACTGTTTTGTGGCCATAAGATTAGTTCTGCAGAAATAGAAGTAATAACAACAGAAAGTTCTAATAGTTATTGTTTCTTGAGTTAAGGTTGGGGGTTCAATCCCAGCTCCAACCTGTTCATAGTGTGGTTACGTCCTTCACGATACACCAGAGTCCTGCACCGCAAATACTTACTGAAACAATCGGGTTTTAACCTTCTGGAATTTTACTAGCGAGTAGTGATTACACACGGGTGAATCAGGTGAATCAGATGAACGACGAACGGAAGAAAAATACTTGATTCGTGTCCAGGACGTCCATCCACCTGGAAACAAGTGACATTTTCCCAGTCTTTTTCTGGATCGATGGACCAGACTGAGAGAGACTTTAGTTGTTTTTTTATGACATAAAACCATCAGCGGAGGTGAATGGCTTGGAGGCTGCACTCCTGGTTTAGTCCTGGTTTAGTCCTGGTTTAGTCCTGGTTTAGACCTGGTTTAGTCCTGGTTTAGACCTGGTTTAGCCCTGGTTAAGTCCTGGTTCAGTCCTAGTTTAGACCTGGTTAAGTCCTGGTTTAGACCTGCTTTAATCCTGGTTTAGACTTGGTTTAGTCCTGGTTTAGTCCTGGTTTAGACCTAATCCAGTCCTGGTTTAGACCTGGTATAATCCTGGTTTAGTCCTGGTTCAGTCCTGGTTCAGTCCTGGTTTAGTCTTGGTTCAGTCCTGGTTTAGACCTTTTATAGTCCTGGTTCAAAGCTGATCCAGTCCTGGTTTAGACCTGATATAATCCTGGTTGAGACCTGGTTCAGTCCTGGGGTAGTCCTGGCGATCTTTTCTGCAGTTTGCGGTGTGTATGTATTTATAATCTGCTAATGACACGGTGTTGGTTCAGTCCTGGTTTAGTCCTGTTTTAGTCCTGGATTAGTCCTTGTTTAGTCCTGGTTTAGTCCTGGTTTAGTCCTGTTTTAGTCCTGGTTTAGTCCTGGTTTAGTCCTGGACTATTGGGCTCTGAAACTAATGGTCTGACCCTGATTTATCAAGGGCTCGGGCGGGTAATGGGTAGAATGTTAATGGGTCTGGGTTGGGTGCCGATTTATTTTAGATATAATCACGGGTTACCGGTCGGGTGTGGTGCTGTACTGGGCGGGTGCGGACTCTGATATATACACTAACAAAAAATTTAATATATAAACACTTAACTCTTTCAGAAAATGACTTAAAAACTGTGAAATTATATTTCTATGCAGCAAAATCATTTTACTGAACAAGTCGTCTTAAACTAAACGACCTCGAGACTAGAATGAAGCAGCCTCTGGTCTCGTACGTGGATAATAAATCTGAAAACAAGATGAATAACCTGATAGAAGTTTTAAAATCTTGGCCAGATCAGAGAAATGTGCAGTTTAAGAAAGCGTTGGACGAGATTTTTATTTATTTTAACCGCTCTCTTCTCTCTTTTCTTCTCCCTCTCCTCATGTCTCTCTCCCATCCCTCTCTTCCTCTTTGTCTCTGTAGTGCGGACCAGGCGTTGGACAGATTTGCCATGAAGCGTTTCTATGAAGACAAAGTCCTTCCTGTGGGACAGCCCTCTCAGAAAAGGTACAGCCCTCTATACTTCAAATTCTACTTTTTTATTTACAAGTCTCTTCTTTCCATGGTAGAAGTTGTTTTTTGTCTGTGTTGAGTAATGCTGGTAATTCAGGTTTAACCCAGAGATACTGAACGACGGGTCAAATGCAGAGGGCTGATTTCCCTGCGTTTGACCTTCCTGTGGTTAGTGTGTGGGGTATATTGAATGTGTGGTGACTTTGGCTCACTACTGCCCCCTGTGTGTGTGGCCGCGCTCTGACCTGAAGTTTACAGGCAGCTGTGAAAACAACACGGGGCTGGATTTCCTTATAAAAAACTCTTGAGCTGAAACTCAGCCCAAAATCACAACAGTCACCTCACAGAGCCAAAGTACTAAACCTGGACTAAACCCAGACTAAACCTGGACTGAACCTGGACTGAACCAGGACTGAACCAGGACTAAATCAGGTTCTAACCAAAACTGAATCAGGACAAAGCCAAGATTTAGCGAGGACTAAACCAGGATTAAACCAGGTTTGAACAAGGACTAAACGGGGACTGAACCAGGACTTAACATAGACCGAATCAGGACCTAACCCAGACTAAACCAGGACTGAATCAGGACAAAACCAAGAGTTAGTGAGGACTAAACCAGGATTAAATCTGGTTTGAACCAGGACTAACTAAGGACTGAACCAGGACTTATCCAGGACTAAAGCTAGACTGAATCAGGACCTAACCAAGACTAAACCAGGACTGAATTAGGACAAAATCAGGATTACGCGAGAACTAAACCAGGATTTAACCAGGATTAAACCAGGTTTGACCCAGGACTAAACCAGGACTGAATCAGGACAAAACCAAGAGTTAGTGAGGACTAAACCAGGGGTAAATCTGGTTTGAACCAGGACTTAACCTGGACTGAACCAGGACTAAACCTAGACTGATTCAAGACCTAACCAAGACAAAAGCAGGACTGAAACAGGACTAAATCAGGATTTAGTGAGGACTGAACCAGGACTAAACCAGGACTGAACCTGGATCGAATCAGGACTAAACCAAGATAGAATCAGTCCCTAACTAAGACTAAACCAGGACTGAATCAGGATAAAATCAAGATTTAGCAATGACTAAACCAGGTTTAAACCAGGTTTGAACCAGGACTAAACCTGGACTATATTTATATCTAAAGTGTATTGTTTTCCAGATATGTGGAGTACTTCTGTGGTCTTCTGTCTGGACACATCAAGATCAACAACAAGCCTCTGTTCCTGCACCATGTGATCCTGCACGGCATCCCACACTACGAGCCCAAAGGAGGTACAACACCACACACACACGCTCTGTCAAATGTGCTTCTCACATGTGCTTTTACATCAACATTCTAACTACAGGCACTGCTCTGTCTGGTGAACACTCGGACTGATCACAGTGATCACAGGCTCCTGAAAATGTGCTGCTTAAATCCATTTTGTAGTTTTTTCAGTCAATCCTAAACCTTTTTCATGTGCATCATGTCACCATGGTAACGTGTGGGCATACAGGGCAGCCATGGGCACACAGGCTCCCCCAGCGTGATGTCAGGATGCAAACGTATCAATAGTACTTCTCGTCTCGTGTTTGAGTCATATTTATTCTCCTGGACTCAAGACATCATGGCTCTGAAATGTCCTGTTTCTCTTACCCCCCACACACCCGCTGCTCTGCTCCTACTTCACTCTCAGGTGCTCTGCTCATTCAGCTGCGTTTCAAGGTTATTTTGGCTCAGATTGAAAGAAAAAGAAAGTATATTTGCAGCTTGCTACTGCATAGTGTGGACTAAACCAGGACTAAACCAGGACTAAACCAGGACTAAACCAGGACTAAACCAGGACTAAACCAAGACTAAACCAGGACTAAACCAGGACTAAACCAAGACTAAACCAGGACTAAACCAGGACTAAACCAAGACTAAACCAGGACTAAACCAAGACTAAACCAGGACTAAACCAGGACTAAACCAGGACTAAACCAGGACTAAACCCAGGACTAAACCAAGACTAAACCAGGACTAAACCAGACTAAACCAAGACTAAACCAGGACTAAACCAGGACTAAACCAGGACTAAAACCAGGACTAAACCAGGACTAAACCAGGACTAAACCAGGACTAAACCAGACTAAACCAGACTAAAAAACCAGGACTAAACCAAGGACTAAACTAAACCAGGACTAAACCAGGACTAAACCAGGACTAAACCAGGACTAAACCAAGACTAAAACCAGGACTAAACCAAGACTAAACCAGGACTAAACCAGGACTAAAACCAGGACTAAACCAAGACTAAACCAGGACTAAACCAGGACTAAACCAAGGACTAAACCAGGACTAAACCAGGACTAAACCAGACTAAACCAGGACTAAACCAGGACTAAACCAGGACTAAACCAGGACTAAACCAAGACTAAACCAGGACTAAACCAGGACTAAACCAGGACTAAACCAGGACTAAACCAGGACTAAACCAGGACTAAACTAAACCAGACTAAACCAGGACTAAACCAGGACTAAACCAGACTAAACCAGGACTAAACCAAGACTAAACCAGGACTAAACCAGGACTAAACCAGGACTAAAACCAGGACTAAACCAAGACTAAACCAGGACTAAACCAGGACAAAACCAGGACTAAACCAAGACTAAACCTAAACCAGGACTAAAACCAGGACTAAACCAGGACTAAACCAGACTAAACCAGGACTAAACCAGGACTAAACCAGGACTAAACCAGGACTAAACCAGGACTAAACCACCAGACTAAACCAGACTAAACCAGGACTAAACCAGGACTAAACCAGGACTAAACCAGGACTAAACCAAGGACTAAACCAAGACTAAACCAGGATAAACCAAGACTAAACCAGGACTAAACCAGGACTAAACCAAGACTAAACCAGGACTAAACCAGGACTAAACCAGGACTAAACCAGGACTAAAACCAGGAGTAAACCAGGAGAAAACCAGGACTGAACCAGGACTAAACCAGGACTAAACCAGGACTAAAACCTAAACCAGACTAAACCAGGACTAAACCAGGACTAAACCAGGAAAACCAGGACTAAACCAGGACTAAACCAGGAGTAAACCAGGAGGACTAAACCAGGACTAAACCAGGACTAAACCAGGACTAAACCAGGACTAAACCAGACTAAACCAGGACTAAACCAGGACTGAACCAGGACTAAACCAAGACTAAACCAGGACTAAACCAGGACTAAACCAGGACTAAACCAGGACTGAACCAGGACTAAACCAGGACTAAACCAGGACTGAACCAGGACTAAACCAGGACTGAACCAGGACTAAACCAGGATGGAAAAACTTGATCTGTGTCCAGGACTAAACCTAAACCTTTATTAGACAAAAGCATCGTCTGTCATGTGTAAAAATCTGTCCTATGTTAAAAACTGTTGACTTTGTTGACAGATTTGCACATTAGAACTTCTCTGAACTCAAATCCTCGTGTTGTTTTTCAGGTTGTCGTCCGTTTTTAAAGATCTACCAGGCCATGCAACCCGTCTACACGTCTGGGATCTAGTAAGTCTTCTACCTTTATCTTTTTCTCTTTCTCTTCTTCTCTGCTCTCGTAAATGGATGAAATCAAAAAGTGAAATCGTAAATGAAAGAGACGTGTCCAAACGGTGCATTGTGTCCTCTGTTGTTTCCATAGTAACGTCCAGGGAGACAGTCAAACGTCCATCTGCATCACCATAGAACCAGGACTGCTGCTCAAAGGAGACATCCTGGTGAGACGTGGACTTTTACTGCTGTTATGTCATTATGAAGGCTCTGTTTTTGTTAAAGCTGCACTGCGTAACTTTTCTGGTAAAGGGAACATCAGCTTCTTGTCTCCGTATTGTTTTGCCTGCACAAGTCCATTTTTGGAGACCTGCACCCACCCGCACCTGCCCAGTACAGCACCACACCCGAACGTAAACCCGTGATTATATCAAAATTAAAACCGCACCCGCCCCGACCCGTTAATATTCCACGCTTTACCTGCCTGTGCTCGTGATAAATCGGGGTCGGCCCATTAGTCCAGGACTAAACCAGGACTAAACCAGGACTAACCAGGACTAATCCAGGACTAATCCAGGACACCGTGTCATTAGCAGATTATAAATATATACACACACTGCAAACTGCAGAATAGATCGCCAGGACTACAGAAGGACTCAACCAGGACTGAACCCGGTCTAAACCAGGACTTAACCAGGTCTAAACCAGGACTAGACCAGGGCCAGACTAGGACTAAACCAGGAGTTAAACAGAACTAAACCAAAGTTAGATTAGAACAAAACCAGGACTAAACCAGGATCAGACCAAGACTAAAACCAGGACTAAACCAGGACTAAACCAGGACTAAACCAGGACTAAACCAGAACTGAATCTACGCCATGTCATTAATGGAATATAAAAATATGCATGCCGCAACTGCAGAGCTGATCACCAGGACTACACCAGGTCTAAACCAGGACTGAACCAGGTCTAAACCAGGTCTAAACCAGGTCTAAACCAGGTCTAAACCAGGACTAAACCAGGATTAACTGGAATGAACCTACACCATGTCATCAGTGGATTATAAATATATATACGCCGCAACCACAGAGCCGATCGCAAGGACTACACCAGGACTGGACCAGGTCTAAACCAGGACTATACCAAAACTGGGCCACGCCTTAATCAGGACAAAACCAAGTCTAAACCAGGTCTAAACCTAAGTTTAAACCAGGAGCTCAGCCGCCGAGCTGTTCACTTCCGCTGATGGTTTTCTGTAATAAAAACACTGAAGTCTCTCTCAGTCTGGTCCATCGTTCCAAGAAAAGACCAGGAAATGTCACTTGTTTCCAGGGCAACGGACGCTCTGGACGCACGTCAAGTATTTTTCTCCCGTTCGTTGTTCATTTGATTCACCTGACCCGCCGTGTGTAATCACTACCCGCCCGTAAATTCCACAAAGTTAAAACCCGCCCGTTACAGCAACTATTTGCCGTGCAGGATTCCGCTTGACGACGGTCCAAGTTGCATATCAAACTTATAAGAAGGTATATTTTCAAGGTACTTTTGAGCAAAGCCGTACCATGAAACATTCCAGGATGAGCAAGGACATCATGGAAACAAAAACGTGCCACAACCCCCACCAGAAAAAGGTTACATAGTGCAGCTTTAAATGAATTTCCTTTATGCTTTAATCCTGTTTTAAAGATCCGGTTTGGAGTCCATTTTTGTTTTATTTCTAGACCTGGTTGAGTTCTGCTTTAGTCCTGGTCTATCTCTGGTGCTACTAAATATTTTATAAGATCCATTTGAGTATTTGTAGTTTGACGGTAGATTCCTGCAGTGTTTTTACAGCCGTGCCTGAGAGCTTTGGCTCGGCTCCTGTCTTTAAAGTGAGCCTCATTAGCACAGTGTGAACCTGGAAACTATGACGCCAATGAGCAAGGCACTTCCTCTGAAAAGAGCCAAAAAACATAGGGGACGAAGGTTTGTGAGTAATAACGAGAGTTTGCCAAAATATGTAGCCTCAAGTGAGAGTAACGTTACTTCAAAATAATATTACGTATCAAGTAGAAGTACAAAGAAATTGCTCAGGTTTGTGAAGTCGTAGTGTATTGTTTTGTATATGTATGTCAAATTTGGAGCATGGATGATGTAGGCTTGTGGGAGGAGCCTTGTACTGTAAGAAGGAGAGATCACTAAATGACTCAAACATGCGTGGATGACTCTACCTCTTCAGACATGTTTTTGATAAAGGAACAAGGTAGAAAGGTCCAAACAAATTTAGCATAATACCCCCTCTTAAAAGGTGTATTGTGTAACTTTTCTGGTGAAAGGTCCATCACCTCCTTGTTTTCTTTGTCATTTCTCTGCCTGGAATGTTCCACAGTATGACTTTAAACAGTTTTACTTACGTTTGTTCAGTTACAGGTGGTTTTGTCACTCAAAAATACCCAGAAAAACAAACATTCTAACTGTGAGCGGGGTCGCCTCTCCACAGATCTTACCTGTAACTTGGTCTGGTTTGGTCTCCATGAAAAAAGAAAGGTTTAATACCATACTGTGAAACATTCCTGACAAAAAAAGAAAAGCATTTGACAGACTCTCTACTGGAAAAGTTACACAATGGACCTCTAAATGAAATTATAAAACATCTTTAGGGGCAGATTGGACGATTTTGTTTTGCTGAGGAAGCAAATTGAGCTCAAAACAAAACAAACAAACAAAAAATATTTGTAGTGTCTAAACAGTGTTGTCTACTGTCCCTAATGCAATTTGCAGGTCAAAAAAGTCAAAATCTAAGTTTGTGCTGCCTTCAGTGGACTCTGTAATTTTAAGTACTACCTGACATCACACAGAACTGCCCCAATCACAGACAGGTGTTTCGGATAATCCTTCAGACCCTCCCCTCACCCCCCACCCCCCACTCTCCCCTTTAGTTTTAAAGACCCTGCACCCACTCTCTCCCCTTTAGTCCTCCAGACCCCTCCACCCCTTCCTCCCTCCTCACTCTCCCCTTTAGTCCTCCAAACCCCACCCCTCCTCCTTCCCCCCACCTCCCCCTTTAGTCCTCCAAACCCACCCCTCTTCCCTCCTCACTCTCCCCCTTTAGTCCTCCAAACCTCACCCCTCCTCCTCCTCCTCACTCTCCCCTTTAGTCCTCCAAACCTCTCCCCTCTTCCCTCCTCACTCTCCCCTTTAGTCCTCCAAACCTCTCCCCTCCTCCTCCTATCCTCACTCTCCCCTTTAGTCCTCTAAACCCCACCCCTCCTCCTCACTCCCCCCTTTAGTCCTTCAGATCATACCGCTCCTCCTCACTCTCCTCTTTACTCCTCCAAACCCCACCCCTCTTCCCTCCTCACTCTCCCCTTTAGTCCTCCAAACCTCACCCCTCTTCCCTCCTCACTCTCCCCTTTAGTCCTCCAAACCTCACCCCTCTTCCCTCCTCACTCTGCCCTTTAGTCCTCCAAACCTCACCCCTCTTCCCTCCTCACTCTCCCCTTTACTCCTCCAAACCCCACCCCTCTTCCCTCCTCACTCTCCCCTTTAGTCCTCCAAACCTCACCCCTCTTCCCTCCTCACTCTCCCCTTTAGTCCTCCAAACCTCTCCCCCCCTCCTCCTACCCTTACTCCCCCCTTTAGTCCTTCAAAACCCAGTCCCTCCTCCCCCCTCACTCCCCCTTTGGTCCTCCATACCCCGCCTCTTCTCCTCCTGCCTTCCCCCTCCCCTTTAGTCCTCCAGGGTTGAGGCGTTCGGTCACATTTGAAAAGGATGCTGATAACTTTGCACTCAGCGTTTCTTTGGTTCAGACTTTCCTTTTTGGCCGCTCTCGTCTCTCCTCTTAAAAGTGAAGTGTTTACGAGTCTCTGGTAATGCAGGACTGTCTCTGAGTGCTGATCTGGGACCGTTAGTCTCTCGTCTGCACTCACAAATGATCTGCCGCTCTGTAAAACTCACATCAGAGCTTTAGAATCAAGGAAAGCACTTCAAACGGTGAAAAGAGTGAAGTCCAAACTACCTAGTCTTGTACTTTGCCACCGCGAAGTACATTCAAGGACAGTAAAATTGCGTTTTTTTGGAGTATTCTACCAAAAACATATCAGAAGAGGTTTTGAGAGTCATCCATGCATGTTTGAGTAATCTAGTGATCTCTCTTAGACTGGGTCACCCGTGCTCCCACATGACAATTCTCCATAAACGTACAAAAACATGATCATGAACTGTACACTACAACTTCACAAACCTGATACGATGTGCAGTAGTTTAATTAGGGGGATGAAAAACAAAAAGTGAAACTCTTAAAAGATGTTAATATGTTGTTTTGGGGGAATAGAACATTTGCAGAACAATAAAAGTTAACACGGTGATTTAAATATGTTGTGTTAGCAGTTAGAAGTAAAACACACTAATATAATATACTTGAATATACTTGAATATACTTGAATATACTTGAATATACTTGAATGTACTTGAATGTACTTTAATAATGATCACAGAATCACCTGGTGACACGTGTCAGTGATTTTTAGAGTAACTTTGTGTTTGGAAGACACGGTGTATTTTAACATAACATTTCCTCTTTCATAGTCTGCAGTTTTTTCATTATTTTTCTTGTCAAAACTGCTCAGGAGTGAACAATGAGACAGTAATCAGATTACTCACATCAGATCCAACTGTTTACATGACATTTCAGTAATCGGATAACTCCAGAAATCAGATCAGATTTTTAGTTTGTACATAAACATTGAGTTACATAGGCCACATACTCCACTGCCTTTCTCTCTTCAGCTGAACTGTTACCACAGGACACTGATGTCTGAGCACAGGACCTGTACACATGTGTGTGTGTGTGTGTGTGTGTGTGTGTGTTGACTCTTAAAGTGTTACAATAAAACTCTGGGCAGTGTTACACAGAACATAACCTGTACACATGTGTGTGTGTGTGTTGACTCTTAAAGTGTTACTATAAAACTCTGGGCAGTGTTACACAGAACATAACCTGTACACATGTGTGTGTGTGTGTGTGTGTGTTGACTCTTAAAGTGTTACAATAAAACTCTGGGCAGTGTTACACAGAACATAACCTGTACACATGTGTGTGTGTGTGTGTGTGTGTTGACTCTTAAAGTGTTACTATAAAACTCTGGGCAGTGTTACACAGAACATAACCTGTACACATGTGTGTGTTTGTGTTGACAGTTGAAGTGTTACCATAAGCGTGTGCGTGGGCCCAGCAGAGACGTCATGTTCCGTGTGCAGTTCCACACATGTGCAGTTCACGAACTGTCTCTGCTCTTCAACAAGGAGCAGCTGGACCACTCCTGCAGAGGTACTCTCTCTCTATACTCTACCACTCCTGCAGAGGTACTCTCTCTCTATACTCTACCACTCCTGCAGAGGTACTCTCTCTCTATACTCTACTACTCCTGCAGAGGTACTCTCTCTCTATACTCTACTACTCCTGCAGAGGTACTCTCTCTCTATACTCTACCACTCCTGCAGAGGTACTCTCTCTCTATACTCTACCACTCCTGCAGAGGTACTCTCTCTCTATACTCTACTACTCCTGCAGAGGTACTCTCTCTCTCTCTATACTCTCTACCGCTCCTGCAGAGGTACTCTCTCTCCATACTCTACTACTCCTGCAGAGGTACTCTCTCTCTTTATACTCTACTGTTCCTGCAGAGGTACTCTCTCTCTCTACTCTACCACTCCTGCAGAGGTACTCTCTCTCCATACTCTACTACTCCTGCAGAGGTACTCTCTCTCTTTATACTCTACTGTTCCTGCAGAGGTACTCTCTCTCTATACTCTCTACTACTCCTGCAGAGGTACTCTCTCTCTATACTCTACCACTGCTGCAGAGGTACTCTCTCTTTATACTCTACTACTCCTGCAGAGGTACTCTCTCTCTATACTCTACCACTCCTGCAGAGGTACTCTCTCTCTATACTCTACCACTCCTGCAGAGGTACTCTCTCTCTTATACTCTACCTACTTCCTGCAGAGGTACTCTCTCTCTATACTCTACCGCTCCTGCAGAGGTACTCTCTCTCTATACTCTACCACTCCTGCAGAGGTACTCTCTCTCTATACTCTACCACTCCTGCAGAGGTACTCTCTCTCTCTATACTCTACCACTCCTGCAGAGGTACTCTCTCTCTATACTCTACCACTCCTGCAGAGGTACTCTCTCTCTATACTCTACCACTCCTGCAGAGGTACTCTCTCTCTATACTCTACCACTCCTGCAGAGGTACTCTCTCTCTATACTCTACCACTCCTGCAGAGGTACTCTCTCTCTATACTCTACTACTCCTGCAGAGGTACTCTCTCTCTATACTCTACCACTCCTGCAGAGGTACTCTCTCTCTATACTCTACCACTCCTGCAGAGGTACTCTCTCTCTATACTCTACCACTCCTGCAGAGGTACTCTCTCTCTATACTCTACCACTCCTGCAGAGGTACTCTCTCTCTATACTCTACCACTCCTGCAGAGGTACTCTACTACTCTACTCTCTACTCTCTCTATACTCTACCACTCCTGCAGAGGTACTCTCTCTCTATACTCTACTACTCCTGCAGAGGTACTCTCTCTCTATACTCTACTACTCCTGCAGAGGTACTCTCTCTCTATACTCTACTACTCCTGCAGAGGTACTCTCTCTCTATTATAGTCAAAGTTGATGAAACATTTAGAATCACATGGTTCAGAATCAGTCATGGTGTCAAAAGGAAAAGTCTGATATAAATTGGAGATAAAAACAATGTCCAGTATTTGTCTTGCTCCTGTGAACCACACTTACAGATTTTGATATTAGGTTTTTAATATCCATATTAAGGCCCATAAATTTGTGTTAAGTTATGGTGTTAGGTGTGGTATTGTTACTATAACCAGTGACCAATCACCAATCACTGTTCAGTGATTGACAGGTAGTGCAGGAGCTGTCACAAGCTTCTGCTGTAAGAGGATCCTCAAGAACTCAAAAAAATTGTGAGAATTGATCTTGCAAAGTGTTCACAGATAATTCAAAAATATTCATTTGGGAGATAAAATGATTAGTTCCATGATTGCTCTATTATTTTTAGTCTGTTCAAAAAGGACAAACTGGGAATGACACATGGCACACAGAAAAATACTGGTGCCAAAAATCAGCAGCATCTGACCAATACCAAAAGAAAACCAAACACAACTATATATGGGCCATTCCTCATAGTATGTTAACAGAGATGTTTTACTTTCTGATGATTCTAAAGGTGCACTATGAACCTTTTCTTGTCAGAGAAAGAAAGAAGCACCAGCATCTCCATGGAGACAAACACTGGAGAAGTCCCACAATGCACTTTTAATCTTCAGTCATGATTTGTGTTATGAAATCGTTGAATAGTTGGACGTGTTTGTGTTTCCAGATGACAGATTTCCGGAGTATGGGAAAGTGGAGTTTGTCTTCTCTTTTGGCCCAGAGAAGATCCATGGTGAGTTTCACTGTTTACACTTTTGCCTGGTGACTGAATGAACGATGAATACAGAGTGACAGGAAGTATTATCTTCACACACACATGAAAAAACAACGAAAAGATAGACTCATCTTTTGTACAATCGCTATTTTTGTAAAGAATCACACTACTTTTCCTACTAGTATATCTAAACTGGACACTTAGTTACAGGTTGTGTCCATGTTCTAGAATTTGTCATGATGGCTTATATAACTCGATGGGAGATTCACTGTTTTTAAAATAAATCTCCAAACTTCTGACCCAAAAATGTGTCTCCTTCTACGGAAGCCGAGAGGGGTCACAACAAACGCAAACGCCGCAACAAATACAAATGCGACAACACAACAAAAAGCCACAACACACCAAAAAAAGCCACAAAGGAAATGACCGCGGGACTCTATTTTAATGCAAACGCCTCAACGAATACAAACGCCACAACACATCCAAAAGCCACAACACATCCAAAAGCCACAACACATCCAAAAGCCTTAATGCAAGTGACCACGGGACTCTATTTTCCGACGGACCGATCAAGCGGCAAGTGAAGAAGAAGAACTACAATGTGAAATGAATACTGATAAAACAATAAATTAATTTTACTTACGTTTCCAACTTCTCCGTTCCTTTACTTTTCACGTTGTAGTTCTTCTTCTTCACTTGCCGCTTGATCGGTCCGTCGGAAAATAGAGTCCCGCGGTCACTTCTGTTGTGGCTTTTTGATGTGTTGTGGCTTTTTAATGTGTTGCGCCATTTGTATTGGTGTTGTGGCGTTTGTATTTGTGTTGTGGCGTTTGTATTGGTGTGGCGTTTGCGTTTGTTGTGCTTTTGCGTTTGTTGCGGCGTTTTGCATTAAAATAGAGTCCCGCGGTCATTTCCGTTGTGGCTTTTTTTTTGTTTGTTGTGGCTTTTTGATGTTGTGGCTTTTTAATGTGTTGCGCCATTTGTATTGGTGTTGTGGCGTTTGTTATTTGTGTTGTGGCATTTGTATTTGTGTTGTGGTGTTTGCGTTTGTGTTGTGGTGTTTGCATTTGTGTTGTGGTGTTTGCATTTGTGTTGTGGTGTTTGCATTTGTGTTGTCGCATTTGTTTTTGTTGCGGCGTTTGCGTTTGTTGTGACCCCTCTCGGCTTCCGTACCCTTCTCATTAACAACAACAGCAACAATCTTTGGGGTTGAATAATGTATAAATGAATAATAAAAATAGAGCGATACGAGCCCTTTAAGAGTGGAAAAACAATACTTTTAAGTGTTCTAAATTCTCGTAGACATTGGTGTTTTGTTGTCTCTGGTTTAGGGCTGCAGCACCTGGAGAATGGCCCCTCTGTGTCTGTGGACTACAACACCCAGGACCCTCTGATCCGATGGGACTCCTACGAAGACTTCAACCTCATCTGTGAAGACGCTCCAGACGGTGAGAACAGTTACGCTTTTAATGATCAGATCAGAGTCCGGAACATGTCGCCGTTTTCAAGACAGTTCTTCGTTTACTACAGTTTCTGCTGTTGTCGTGATATTAAAATTTGTAACTTTATTCCGGTACAAAAGGAATAGACTCGATACTCTTTGTCTGTCTCTTTCTTTCTTTCACTGTCCTCTCCTCTCCCTCTCGCTCCGTCTCTTTCTCTCGTTGTCTCTCCCTCTCTCTGTCCATTTCCTTTCCTCTCTCTTTCTCCCTCTCTCTCTCTCTCTCTGTCTCTCTCTCGCTTTGTCCTTCTCTCTCCATCATCTCTCTTTCTCTCTCATCCCTCTCTCTTTGTCCTTCTCTTTCTCTCCAACCCTCTCTCTCTATCTCTCTCTTTCTCAATCTCTCTTTCTCTCTCTCCCTCCCTCTCTCTCCTCTCTCTCTCTCTCTCTTCTCTCTCTTCTCTCTCTCTCTCTCTCTCTCTCTTCTCTCTCTCTCTCTCTCTCTCTCTCTCTCTCTCTTTCTCTCTCTCTCTCTCTCTCTCTCTCTCTCTGTTTCTCTCTTTCTTTGTCCTGCTCTCTTTCTTTTTCTTTCTATCCCTCTCTCCATCCTGCTCTCTTTCTATGTCTGTCGCTGTCTCTCTCTCTTTCTCTCTTTGTCCCTCTCTCCATCTGTCTCTAAATTTTCTCTCTCTCTTCATCCCTTTCTCTGCCTCTCCCTTTGTCCATCTCTTTTTCTCTCTCTCTCAGCTTCTCTCTCTCTGTCTTTCTCCCTCCCTCTGTCTCTGTTTCTCTCTCTCTTTGTCCATCTCTCTTTCTTTACCTCTGTCCGGCTCTCTCTCTCTTTCTCTCTGTTTCTCTCTCTTTCTCTCTTTCTCACATATAGTCCATCCTGGTCCTGTTTCTATAATGAGGTGTTTGTTGTGCGTGGCTCTGGTCTGGGTTCAGTCTGGTCTTGGTCTTGGTCTTGGACTGGTCCTGGTTTACAGAGGGCCTCACGGTTGGTCCAGCTCAGGTCAGGGAGCAGTTCAGTAAAGTTCACGCGCTTTTAAAAACGTGTGGTGCGGCGCTAACTGTAGGCACTGCTCTGTCTGAAGCTTTATCTTTAATCCGAGCTGTATTTTAAAATGATCTGACCATAAATAACTCACATTTTGTGTTTTTTCTTGAGTTTTCAGACTATCTTAAAACTTCGTTGGCAGTGTTTGCAATTACTGGGCCTATCCATATAAAACAAAAACTTAACAGAGATAAACCATGCGTGTTTTTACGTATTTTGTCACCATAAAATCACCTGAAATTGAAAAAAATCCAACTCGGATGTAATAATGTTATATGGCTCCGTGTGCTCGTCCTGAATTAGCCTTCCACCAGAAATCCTGTCTCTGGTCTGGTCTATTTAAACCGGGACTAAACCAGGACTAATCCAGAGGTCAAGAGGAGCGCTGACCTGTGACCTTTGAACTGTCAGAGGGGCCACTACAAATATCCAGCACTCAGGACAACAAATCACTTTTACTCACCGTCACTGAAGTTCACGAGTAGTAGTAGTAAGATGTACTAGTATGCCTGCCTTGAGTGTAGTAGTAATGATAGTATTTGCTCTAGTACTTTGTGAAGTTATTTTGAAGTAACTAGAAGTAGATCTAATTTGTATTTTGAGTATATACTGTATATTTTATTTTGTGTTTCCCTCAAACTTTTGAAAACTAAACATTCAGACATTTATTTACTTTCTAGAGGTGAAAGGTCAGCTGAATGATCCCATGGAAATACAAACAGGAAGTTAAAATCATACTAGGGAACTTTCTTCATGTAGATAGATATGTTTTATGTCATACTGTGGAATATTATAGCTAAACGAATAACATTTCCATGGAAGCAAGTAAGAAAAGAAGCCAAATAAGAGTCAGGTTTGTGGAGATGCAAGTCCGCAGTATTGTTTTTTGGTTTGTAAGTTTGTTTTTCAGCGCAAGCCATCATAACCAAAGTGAAAAACAAACAAACAAACAAACAAAAATGCTATTATGTTGTGTATTTCTTGGATAAAAAGAGGTTACCCACTGTGGCTTTAAATGAATGTATTTTGAACAGACGTATTTCAGCTTAGGCACCATACCATCACTTACAATCACATACAATCACATACCATCACTTACCATCACATACAATCACATACCATCACTTACAATCACATACAATCACATACCATCACTTACAATCACATACAATCACATACCATCACTTACAATTACATACAATCACATACAATCATATACAATCACATACAATCATTTACCATCACATATAATCACATACAATCATATACCATCACAAACAATCGCATAGTCACATTCATCACATACAATCACAAACAATCACATACAATCACATACAATCACACACAATCACATACAATCACACACAATCACACACAATCACAAACAATCACACACAATCACACACAATCACATACAATCACATACAATCACATACAATCACACACAATCACATACAATCACACACAATCACATACAATCACACACAATCACACACAATCACATACAATCACACACAATCACACACAATCACACACAATCACACACAATCACACACAATCACATACAATCACAATCACAAACAATCACATAAAATTACACACAATCACATAAAATCACACAATCACACACAATCACATACAATCACACACAATCACATACAATCACATACAATCACACACAATCACATACAATCACATACAATCACACACAATCACATACAATCACAATCACAAACAATCACATAAAATTACACACAATCACATAAAATCACATACCATCACATAAAATCATATACAGTCACATGCCATCATATACAATCACATAAAATCACATATAATCACATGCAATCACATACAGTCACATACACATACAAAGTTACCCATTGTGGCTTTAAATAAAATGACATGAATGTATTTTGAATGGATGTATTTCAGCTTTATTAACTTACATAATAACTTTGGATAAATTCTGAAAGAAATAGACAGAATGAAAGTAGCAAAAAACAGTTTGAAAGAATGAATTAAACTCCCTGCATGTCTCCATGGAAATGTTTTTGCTTTGTCTAGAATGTTCCACAGTATAGATTAAACCTGACTGTCATGAGAGAGACAAGCAGGTTACAGCACTACGCTACTTTACAGGTCACATCTGTGGAGACGCGTTCCTATTCACAGATGGAATTTTTGTATTTCTGAGCAACAGAAACACCCGTAATGAATAAATGCTAGATGCTTAATGTCATACCAAGCAACATTCCTGGAAAAGCAATAAGATCTCCATGGAGACAAGCAGAAAAGAAACGTTCTGTAGTGTACCTTAAAAATCCCTCACGTGTCTTGGGCCTCCTTGATTCAGTCTATAACTCTTTTAGCGTTTCTATGAGCAGATATTTACGCCTGTGTTTTTACAAAGCCCAAACACTTGATTTAACTGTAGCTGTAGTGTCCAGGAGACCGGGACATCTCCTCTGCTATTCCCACTCACGCTGTAGATCTGACCAGACGTTTCAAAAGGACAAGCTCTAAGACACAAACATGGACGAGGTTTTGGTTTAAGGACATTTTCAGAGGGACATAGGCGTTGTTAAGGACCAAAAACACTCACATGAGTTTGTGGAAGTAAAAACTGTAGTAGTAGTAGTAGTAGTAGTAGTAGTAGTAATAATAGTAGTTGTAGCAGTAGTAGTAGTTAGTAGTAGTAGAAGTAGCAGTAGTAGTAGTAGTAATAATAGTAGTTGTAGCAGTAGTAGTAGTTAGTAGTAGTAGAAGTAGCAGTAGTAGTAGTAAGAGTGTTAATAGTACAGTAGTTGCAGTAGTAGTAATAGTAGGATGAGGAGGAGTATTGGAGTAGTTGCAGTAGTATTAGGAGTAATACTAGAGTAGCAGCAGTAGTAATAGTAGTATTAATAGTGTTAATTGTGCTTGTTGTAGTATTAATACTAATAGTAGTAGTAGTAGTAGTAGTAGTTGCAGCAGTAATAGTTGTAAATAGTAGTAGTAGTATTAATAGTGTTAATAGTAGTAGTAGTAGTAGTAGTGGTAGTAGTAGTAGTAGTAGTAGTAGTAGTAGTAGTAGTAAGAGTAGTAATGGTGGTAGTAGTAGTAGTACTAGAAGTAGGAGTAGTATTGGAGTAGCAGCAGTCGTAGTAGGAGTAGTATTGGAGTAGTAGCAGTAGTAGTAGTAGTAGTAGTAGTAGTAGTAGTAGTAGTAGTAATTGTAGTAGTAGTAGTAATTGTAGTCGTAGTAGTAGTGGAGTAGCAGCGGTAGTAGTAGTACTAGTAGTTGTAGCAGTAATTGTAGTAGGTAGTACTAGAAGTATTAATAGTGTGAATAGTAGCTGGAGCAGTAGTAGTAGTAGTAGTTGTAGTAGTAATAGTAGTAATAATAGTAAAAGTAGTAAGAGTAGTAATCATAGTAGTAGTAATACGAGTAGTGATGGTAGCAGTAGTAGTAATTAAAAGTAGTCATGGTAGTAGAAGTAGCAGTAATAGTAATAGTAGTAGGAGTAGTATTGGAGTAGCAGCAGAAGTAGTAGGAGTAGTATTGGAGTAGTAGTAGCAGTAGTAGTCGTAGTAGTAGTAGTAATAGTAGTATCAGTAGTGGAGTTGCAGCAGTAGCAGTAGTTGTAGTAGTAATAGTAGTAGTAGTAGTAGTAGTAGTAGTAGTAGTAGTAGTAGTAGTAGTAGTAGTAATAGTAGTATCAGTAGTGGAGTTGCAGCAGTAGCAGTAGTTGTAGTAGTAGTAGTAATACTTGTAGCAGGTGTAGTAGTAGGTGTAGTAGTAGTTTAGTTTGGTAGTTGTACATGCATAAATAGTACTTTGTGGTCACCCCAGGTTCTGCTTGTTAAGTTTAATGCCATTCTGAGGACCTTTCTAGACGCTCCTCCAGAAAAGTTCCACAGTGTGCCTTTAACTGTCAGAAGTTTGTGGTTTAACACGATGTGGAAAT